CGACCATCTTTTCTTTTTCATTATGTTCCGCTTCCAGGTTTCAGGATTTGATTTTCTCCAACGACGTCTTTTTTTGATCAGGGATCATCACTATCCGAAGTTTCTTCATTTTTCGGAACATATTCATCGCTACGATCGAACTGACTTTCAGATGCTTGCCTTTCTATAATTGGACTCTTTTGGGCACCACTTGTTGATGGAAGCCTGGTGAACAGAAGGTTGTCATCTTGAATTAAATAAAAATATATATATATATATATATATAAGAATTTTACCAAATTCACCGGCGCAACAAACTGAACTTGAACCATATAGTTTAATGTGTTTACACAAACATGCATACAGCATGTAAAATCACTATTGTATACACGTATTCAATTGTAATTGAATACGTCTTGATATTCATGTAGCCAACGTATGCAATGTAGACAATGTATATACTAACATTCGTTCAATTAGGTCGCTGGCATACATACAACGCCTATATAAGATTTTTGAATAATTAATAAAGGTATAAATACAAATAGGAAAATTTCTGAATTAAATATAAAATACATTTGACTTATTTAATTCAGCGTCATCAGCATCATCAGTATTTGGATTGGCAAGGGCGTTATCGGTCATTCATAATGCAGATGCTTTCTTATTACTTTTCTAATTGCACCTTCTGATTTGATAAGTGCTTCTATAAGGCAAGTAGAAACTGGTTAAGTACCTCGCTGATAGTTGCATATTGTGGTAGGATACTTAACTGTGCAATTTTAAGCGACACGTAGCTTTCTTTAATCTTTGAAAAAAATGAACTCTAATACATCGATTATCTTATTATATTTTTGGGCGCTCAACCATATAGTTTCTATACTTTCCGGTTCACTATCATTTTGGCGCTTGCCAGTAAACCTAACCTTACTTATACATACATCGACATGTAGACTATTAAAGTATAGGTAGATGCCCCATCACTGGGTAATATCAAAAAACTCATTTGAAACTCAAAGAATTTCGCAATCGGTATACCTGTTTACATCATCTTACATAAGATATATTATGCATTTCGAGTATTTAGGAATCCCATACAAACGCTTCTGCAAAGGTAATTTCCAAATAATTTTAGTTGAAATTAAGGGCCTCTAGATTTTTTTTATATAAAATTTGATGTACGATTTAGCAGTCCATCCAAGAATGTGCGTGCGGATCGCAAAGTTTATTAACGGAACTGTTTATGATTGCAACTGGTTTTCAGTAGCCATAATATTTTGCGTTCCACATGCTTTTTTATTCACAACTGAATTGGTAGTTTCAAAAATCCCCGTCATCGATCTTCATTGCATAAACATAAGTCTGGCACGTAGATAGTAGTTCTTGCATGTACTACATGAAGGCAGGTACTTGAAAGAGCCATTTTATTTATATTTATGTGCTATGATATATTTGTGTGACCCAGAAAATCCTTTGAACATACGTTGAACATTTTTTACGCTGACCTTGTAATAATAAAAAAATGAAATTCCACGCACAGCAGCGACCTAGCACAATCATTTTTTTCGTTGAAAGAATACATATTGCTGTTTTGTAACCAGATAAGCACGTGGGTTCATTTACAACTGATTGCTGATTATTGAAGAAAGCTGAACGAATACCAGTGCATGGTTTGGGTCTCACACAGGAAATTTTTTCCTCACAGTGTGTTCGTTTGTCCTGGTTTCTCCTATGTACCTTAAGGATATTAAAATATGTGAAGGCATGATAATAAATCAACTTTTGAGTTTAATTTCAAATAGGCAATTAAAACGTGATCAACATGATACTTTTACCTAAGTTACACCTGCTCGTATATACCGCTAATTGCATTTCCCACGAAAACAAGGTAAGCTTAGAACAGTGTTCGGGATTTTCCATTATTGTACATTATTCAAATATTTTTAAACAGATACAAGATCCAATTATAGAGAAACACTATGCAAGTGATGAAAAACAAATATACATACATCAAAAAATAGTAACATTAATTAATGGTACTAAAAAAACCTATTTGCTTATACCAAAAATTCAACAACAACAAAGCATCAGTGCAGTAGTACCACACGCAAACTAATAATATACATATATTCCTGAACGTAAATTCCACTCCTAAATACTGAAAAGCTAACAAAGGTGTACGTCATTGAACAGTTTTTAAATATTATATTCTTCTTACGTATACAGGTTGTCCCATAAGTAATGGTAAATAATTTAACAGCAGATAAATATTGACATTTTCTGTTTATTTAAACTTCGTTACTTTTTTACGCTTGGTAAAATTTAAATTTTTATTATAATATGCATTGTGCAATCATGCTTGCTTAAAAAAGGTATACTATCAAAATTTCGCTATGTTGCACAGTTGCACAGTTTTCGAGATATTTACATTTAAGGTTTTCAATGCACAATAAAACTTTATTTTAACTTTATTTAAAATATTTTTTAAGAAATCTGTGCCTGAGATAAATTATAAACGTCATTGTCACCGTCACGGTTTACGTTCTCATCAGTTACTTTGATCGTGGTTATAAAAGTTCAAACTCACACGTTTAGTGCCGTAATCTATTACCTTTTATTGCGCACTTTTAGTATTAGTTCCAGTGTTCATTGTGTATTTATAACTTTGGTTTAAGATGACTAGACAAGCATTATTTTCTAATTTGGAAAAATGAGATATGGTTTTAGTATATGTCCAAAGAAATTTCAGCTGTTTAAGAGCTTGTCGACGTTTTGTGGAGGAGCCAGATTTTAATCTTTTTAAAAACGCTTACCAGAGACTTGGGGCCAAAGCAGGTCGTTGGATGTCCAAATAGACAATGTGGATCAAGAAGAAAAAGTGTTAATCCAGGTTTCTGAATATCCAGAAATAAGTGTAAGGCGTATGACAGCAAGAACTGGAATTTGTAAATAATCAGTTATGAGAATTTTTATTGCGAACATCTTTATCCATATCGTTTTACACCTGTACAAAGTCTTTTGGATGCAGATCTTCCAGCAAAACTAGCTTTCGCCCGCTATTTCCAGGCTCAACAGAATCAAGATCCCTTAGTTATAAATAAAATTATGTTTACGGATGACTCGATTTTTATCCGAAGGGGAGTTTTTAATTTAAGAAACAAGCATTTAAGGGGTATTGTAAATCCTGAACCTTTTTACTGAAAGACACTTCCGTTAGCAATTTGAAATTAATATTTGGTGTGGTGTGATAGACAATTTTTTGGAGACCATACGAGTTACCTCCAAATATAAATGGAGAATTATATTTAAACTTCTTAAAAACAAAACCCATTGATTATTTTGAAGATTTGCCTTTAAATCTGAGCCGACATATGACTTTTATGCAAGATGGTGATCCTGCAGACTTTGCTAGACAGGTGAGAGAATATCTTGACGCTAATTTTAACTGGATAGGACGTGGAAGTCGAAGGCCTTGGCCCGCACGAAGTCCACATTTTAATCCATTAGATCTTGTGTATGGGGATATATGGAACCAATTGTTTACAAAAATACAGTAAACACAAGAGAGGATTTAATGGCAAAAATTCAAAATGCAGCTGAATCGTTTCGAAATGAGCAATTATTTCTTAGGATTTGGTGATCTTTCATTAAAGGAATTATAAAATGTGTTGAGAGAAATGGAGATAATGTCGAACATTTGCTGGAAAAGATCGATAATTCTTATTTCTGATTAATCTTTAATTTTAAGTTAATTCATCGTTTGTACCTTACCACTCATTCGAAGTATAATAAAGAAATTTAAACAGTTTATGGATATGATTATTTTTGTTCAGTGCACCAGAAGGTTTAAATGTCAATTTTTAGATTTGCCATATAAAAAACCATTACATGCCAAATTTCGTTAAAAACGAAGAATAAATGCTAAATTTATAGCCAATAAAAAAAATACAATAAGTTTATCACCCTGTATCTTGGTTGCCTTTGAATTTTGGACTAAGAAACATCATTTTAATCTCAATATTTCCTTGAAAAGGAATCCGTTGTTAAATTATTTACCATTACTTATGGAACACCCTGTGTACAGGGTGTTCGGAAAATGGACGGAGATCTTCTAGAGAGCCATTCCTTGTTAAATAATATGACAAAAAGTTTGTATAAACATAGGTCCGGAAATGCAGAGTTTTCAAGATACAGTGGCTTTCCGAGAGGCACCTTACCGAATATTATTGCCAAAAATGTACGCTACTGCACTTTTGAAACCTTATTTTACGTTGTTTGAATAAACATCTAAAGGTAAAAAATAAGAACCGTCTTATGTCACTGGATAAAATTGGTTTATTAATCTTTGATAAAAGAATCACAAGTTTCTTGGAAAACAAGAAATCACAAAAATTTCTTGGAAAAAGTGTTACTGCAACTTTTCCAATAGGTACCATGCCATAAAGTACACTACAACAAATGTTGGAAATGTCCATCATCTATTTTCGTTCTTAAAAACTCTGCCTTTCCGGACTCATGTCTATGGAAACTTTTTTCATATTTTATGACAAGGAATCAACCTCTAGAATATCTCCGTCTATTTTTGAATACCCTGTGTATTCACGAATACCAAAATCAAAGAGATACCTAACCAAAGTATTTCGTTATTTTATAGAAAGGGATGATAGCATAATATTTGTAAAATATTTTAGTAGATAAAATATAGTTTAAGTTGGTCAAAATTTCACCACAGCCAATGTGATTGCTTATCAGCTTGTACACACAGCAGCAGCTCAACAGAAATCTTCTGTGTTCAAGACTGATGTCAAAATGATCTAAGAGATTTTTCTTCGTATAGTTGAATGGAGGATATGCTCTATATGCTTCTAAATACAGGTATGCTTAAAATTTCGATATCCATGTAACATAATGAGCCGTATTCATAAAAGAGAAGCATATCCTCAGAAGCATAAGGTAAAAGTATAAGGTTTTGCTTCGGAGAAAAAGGTAGAAGTATAAGCATATCCTTGTTTTCATATTCATAATGATTACCTTATACTCGCGAGGATATCCTCCAAGAAGAAGTAAAAGGTTGACTGGTATTTGTATTTTGAGCGACATGTCCTGCTTGTTCCAGCTTGTAGTTGACGTGGGAGTTTGTTCACTCAGCATCACTGACAGTTGTACTCCAGAGCTTACACAGACCATTCCGTATTTTTACTGGATACAGTTTTTTTATCAAATTAATAAGCATGTCATCCTCAAGTGATGAGGAAGCTATAGAAAATAACGGCAACGACCTGCAGTTCATCGCAGATGAAATTGCCATTGCTCCCATTATTTTGCAAAAGTCACAAGTTCCAAAAATAAAAATGAGAAAGGACGATGCCTTGAAGAAGATGTTGAAAAAATACGAATCAACATTCGGTAAACCATTAGATACTAAAGGCTTATTAAAAAAGATCAACAACATGAAATCAAGATTGAAGAAAAAACAGATCTAAAAAAACTGGTAATAAAGCAATTAAATTGTTAGATTGGGAAAGGAAGTTGCTGAAAGCTATGGAAGGTAACTGTAATCTTACAATTGGGAAAATTAGAGGTGCCATTCAGGTTGGTAGTGTTCAAGAAAAAGGCAGTGAACTATAACCGAGCGCAGTGGGCAAAAAGAAAATTAGCAACAGAGAAGTACGAAACTGAGGAAACCAAAGGGTTAGCTACAAAAGAACTTCAACGTCTAGTGCTATTACAGCAGTACCAAACAAGTATTTTACAACAAGAGTATTATAAAACGAAATTAGAAATGACGCAGCGTTAGAAGCCACCTGTAACTCATGATGCTCACGAAAATAAAACTTATTATAAGTTATAAATACACTTTAATCAGTAAAACTATTTATTATAATACGCAAGTTTCTTCTCATTTGTTGACCTAGTTGGCGGAGAGGAAGTTCATCATTCTCATGATTTCCTTCATCTTCATTTGGGCCTTGTTCAACTAACTCAAAGTCAGGATCGCCCAAGCTCTTCGCAACATTATGGAGTACAATACAAACAATAATTATTTTCGGCACATTTTCCAACTTTACGCGGCAGACATACTGTAAGATAGTAAGCCGGCGTTTCAGTTGGCCGAAACAGCGTTCAATTATAACTCTTTCTTGTTTTAAAAACTTATTATAATTTATTTCTGCACCTGGAGTAGGATTTTTGAAGGGAGTCATAAGGCATGGCTCAATAGCATAACCGTCATCGCCAAGAAGTACAACATTTGCTTTATTTACTAGTTGTGATCTAGTCTATGAATTTCTCCATATTCTGGAATCATGCACTGACCCAGGCCAACGGAAATCAACACTTGTGAACATCTCTCTGGCATCACAAGTGGCTTGCACGCTTAAAGTAGGTTTCCCTCTTCGGTTGATATACTCATCTCCATGGTGATTTGGTTTCAGGATTCCTATATGTGTACAATCAATTACACCAATTGCTGTCGGAAATTTATACATGCTTTGCCATATCCGCTTGGCCTCCATCAGTTCATGGTTGGTAGTTGGAAACTTGATCCATTCGTTCGACTGTGCAACTATGCTGACCAATACCTTGTTGATATCCACGGTCACCGAGATAGCGTAGAGATATCTTCATTTTATGAATACATGAAAGTTCTCCTCCTCGAGTTCCCTCATTCTCTACTAAAAATCTGTCCGCAAGCCATTGTACGTTTGCTTCGTCGAACCGATATAATTTTTTGAACTCACGACCAAGTGAAGGTAAACGAGGTTTGTACGTTTTAACATCCCTAACATCCACAATTTCCGCCATCATTGTTTGACCACCTTTCGTTACGAAGTTGAGTCTGCTACTGACCACATTCAGAATTTTTGAAGGATTATGCTTCCTATGCCAAGTATAAGGTGAAGATTATGAATATCCTTTTACTTATGTCACTGCTTTGAAGGATATGCTTATACTCAAAAAGCAAAAACATTTACTTCAAATTATTATAAATGCCATCTGGAGTATTTCCTTCAAAATTTATAATTCAAGGATATCCTTTCTTTTATGAATACGGCTCATTAAGAAAACCAAACGGTACAGCCATATTCAAGTAAACTTTTAACAAAAGTGTAATACAGTAATTTTAATGAGGTTGTGACTCAAATGCTGTATTACTCCCAAAACGGTTCTTAAAAACTGGTCCGTTTGTCAATCACACATTTCTTATTGTCTCTTGAATAATCCAAATTGTGTGTAGCAAGTCTGCCTTAGATGGTCAAGAGAAGTCACTTTCCAAGGACATTCATTTTTTGCGGCTTCACTTCCTCGACAAACGCAGCCAGGACAACTATCGCTAATGAATAAACAGGACGTTGTTTATCTCGACAGGCGGATGTCATCCAGTTTATCATCACATAGAAGGCTTCTAACCAGTAATTAATAAATGTGACGCCGGCCGCCACCGCGCGGGGTCGTTAATCAACAATTAAAGCGCAAATTGACGGGTTTCGAGTAGCTATTCTTTCGAATAATATGGAGGCGATGCTCAGATTTAATAACTGACAGTTTCATGAGAAGCTCGCGAATGGCTGAAGGATGGTAATTGGATCTCCACCTTTTTTCACACTTCATTTGCTGGAATAATTTTAACGAACTTTTTCAATAGAAAAAGTAATTTGCAGAAATTTTATGCGAAATGAAAAGCTAACACTTGAGCGTAGACGTGACGTTGCAGGGAAGATGGATCAAGGGAAATTGGTTTGGTATGCAGCACATTCAGTCAACGTGCAATTGATTGAATGATGTGAATTGTCAAAGCTATTCGACGGCTACTGCTATTCAGCAAAAATGCGCTACTCCGTTAGACTGCTTAACGTTTGCTGAACGAGCTAATCTTCTGTGCCTAGATGTGGTAACCTTTATTGAAGATCGCTCTAAGCATAGAACCTTTCTTAAAGACTAAAGATGCGTTTTCAAATACATAGAAAGTTAGTTAAAAATATGACGTCAAGTAAGTTGACTCTGTATTTCCCACGGTACGCTAAAGGATTATGTTTGGCACAAGTTAGCTCTTCTGAGAAAAAACTTACCCACGAACATGTTTAATAAAAAACTAAATGAGGAATTGCGGGTGCACATGATCGTTGCGACGCCCGATCCCACGTGAATGACGATATAGGACTTCGCCATGCACAGTGCTACTCTACACGCACCAATGTGGAAGCGTTATACAACCGTAACGTACGACCACCGACGATGATGCTTGTCCATCGAGGCACCACGTCACGTTGCACGTATCGACCACCGACTGTTGGAGATATTTCTAAGTTTTAAGGGTACATGTACCAAGTCATGTATGATGAGTGAAATATACCTAACATGTGCGTAGAATTACTGGGGTTGGAGGCGTATAAATATACCAACGTCAAACAATTGACATATATCCTCCCCCACCCTCTGCACCCATAGCCCTCAATTCTTAACCCATAGAAAATCTTTTCTGAAGATGATCGAGATCGTCTGAAATACAACAAAATGTAGTTGGAGCGATTTTTACTTATTTCGTGTATCACCTTTTTCTCCGCCGTCGCTGGACCTATTTTGCAAAACTAAAATATTTTGCGTCCTTGGCATAGTAGCAACATTGTGTAAGAATTTAATCGACGTTTGAGAAGCACTTCTCAAGTTATATGCGTTTAAAAGATTTGCGGACAGACAGACAGACCGACGGAAATTAGGCTTTCATAATGTGACTGTACGAAGTTATAGCTATTGATATATTTTCATTCCAAGCGGTATAGTAGCTTTCCAGATACTAAGAATATTTTGGATGCTTTTCTACATATCTACTTTCAACATTTTCATCGTAGAATCAAGTATAATTGAGGGGGAAAAAGTGCAAGAAATATAAGAGGTTTATTATAGTGTATTTTGATGAAACAAAGAAAGTTCAGAGGCGTACTCAACCAACTCAAAACAATTTTCAAGAGGCCTCTGCTCTCATCACATTGAGAATCTTGTATAACTAGGTACTTTAACTTTGGGCATGGACGTGCCATCTAACCAGAAGGCAGCAGTCTCAGTTCTATTATACACAGTGCTCTTCAAAAAGCCCTTTCTCCCAGTTTATTTTTTGAAGGGATAAAGTTAGCAAGCTCAAATTCGAAATGACGAAATTGAAGCAAGAACACACGTAATAGTGGTAATTGAAAATATCAAGATGGCGGCTGGCTGTGCGCCACATTGAACCATTTTATTGAGTAGAATGGGGGTAATCCTCCATGTTTGCCTGGCCGCTAAACAAAACCTCATATGCTTGAAATACGACGTTTCATTCACCACGGTACACACAAGTACAACTGACAATTCTGATGACAATATACTTTGTTTACTGTTTTTCAAGTGACATTTCGTTTGCTTTTTTCTTTCAGCTTTATTTGTAACATGCTGAGATTGCTTGGGGCAATCATTGCAATTTTAAGATGGCATCAAGCATTTTACCACCTTATAAGCAAGAGCATAAATTTACTCTCGTTCAAAATAGCAGACGGGGGGGCCGCCAAAGTTTGGCATTTGTGTACCAACCATAATAGTATGTCATATCAATGTTCTTTCTTCTTGAGGGTATATGGGACATTCCGTTAAAATGATTGACATATCTTAACATTATTATACCTACGGAGAGATTCTTGCAAGAAAACCAGATTGGCATACAGCTGCTTGATGACTGGCTATAACGCTCAACTTTCCATTTTTAAATTTAACAATATTCAAATATCAAATTTAGACTATAGGGATATATAGTTCCTATGAATAAAAAAAAATACATAACGCTTTATCAGTTTATTTTCAAGAACCAAGAAAAAAAGAAACTATAGTAAATGTCAGTCTCGATTTCAGCTCAGTGCGAGACAGTTTCCAGGACTCACTGAGAGCGATCAAAAAGCCTTACCGTTTCTTTTTTTGTCATGCATTAATATTAATCATATCAGAAATCAAGCAAATTAGAAATTTCCACCCCTAGACAGCGTACTGCGCAATATGAGTACAGAGTTTCAAATAAACTCATTCAAATAGCAAATACTTCCATACAAGTTGCTACCCCATATGTCATCTCATCAAGGGACGAGTTTCCAAAAATCCCTTCTCATTGTCAACTTGATCCTTTAGATGGACCTCTTTGCAAACTGCCAAGTTTGTAGGTCGGCGCCATCTTTGATTCACATATAGAGATGACAAAACAAATAAAGTCTCATAAAAAGCAGCGGAAACATCTGAGACAAA